TAGGCGTCATGTAGTGGCCCAGTAGAAGTCCGGGCCTCAGGTGGTGTCCTGATTGAGCACAGGGTCTCAAGTGGCTGTCGGCGGAGCAACGACGTCAAGCGGTGGTTCGACGGAGGTGAGGGCCTTCGGCGGTGGTCCAACGAAGGTGAGGGTCTCTGGCAAATGTGATGGCCTCTAGCAAAGATGAGGGCCTTTGGCGAAGGTGAGTGCCTCTGGCAAAGGTGAGGGCCTTTGGTGAAGGTGAGGGCCTCAGCTGTTGGTGAAGACCTCTGGCAAAGGTGAGGGCCTTTGGTGAAGGTGAGGGTCTTTGGCGAAGGTGAGGGTCTTTGGCGAAGGTGAGGGCCTCTAGCGAAGGTGAGGGCCTCTGACAAAGGTGAGGGCCTTTGGTGAATGTGAGGGCCTTAGGTGTTGGTGAAGGCCTCTGGCAAAGGTGAGGGTCTTAATTGGCGAAGGTGAGGGCCTCTGGCGAAGGTGAGGGCCTCATGTGGTGGTCCGACGAAGCTCTGACGGTGGTCCGGCGAGACTCCTGCGGTGGTCCGGCAGTGGTCGAGGATGAGCTTCTTCCTTCTATTCTCCTCTTCTCTTCTTGCTTCGATCCCCTTTCAAGAGAAATGAGGGGTCTATTTATAGATTTTCTGGAGTGGCATGCCCCGTAAATAGGTGAGAGATCAAGGGTAAATGGGGAGTGGTTGGATGGACGGCCGATATTGAACCCCTTGATCATGGACCGTTCGTCAGGCATTTGGAGGTCTTAGTGATTTCGGAATTCGGTGATCTTGGGGTCGTTGGATTCGTCTCGTCGAGCCGCTCGATTCGAGTATAAATTTGTTATGTTTGGAAACCGTTTGGTAACTCAAATTGTGGTTGAACCTTCCAACAACGCTTCGGGTCCTTGATTTGTACTCATTTGGGCTCGGATTGAGTCGAATTTGGTGTCGTTGGGTTCGTATTTCCGAGACGCTCAGTTCGACTATAAGTTTGCTGAAATCGAAGATGAGATGATCTCCGAGTTAATTTTTGAAATTTCTAACTTGATTTTGCATCGAGATTCGCATCCGATCAAGATACCTTTTTGACGACGTATCATATATATATATATATATATATATACACAAACATGAAAAAAATTAAATTAGAAATTTTTGAAAATAAATTTAGAATAATGCAAAATTATTTTTTTTTTTAATTTTTCACTGAAATTAATCTCTCTAACTATTTCGATGTAGACACAATCAATTAAAAACTCAATCAAACAGGTATAAGCGCTCTACCACTTATATATTAGATGCCCAATTTTTAATTTCACTTTGATATGTACAAAAAAGACTAATTATCTTCTTCTCATGCGTGCTTATCTTATCAACATATACGTCGCATCACATCATTTATCTCTTATAATTCTCTGTTAACAATTAGTTGTTACGAAAATATCTTCGCGACTTCTTCAGGCGCTTTGTCGTCTCCTGACGGCCGTCAGATTCCATGCATGAACCTGTAACAGTGTATGGATTCGGTAACTGAGGGGATTGGAAAGCGGACCAATTGGGGAGTGACACGTCGACCAGGTGTAATCTGAAGCAGATTATCCTATATAACTGAATAATTAGCTGGGTGCGTAGGGTGGGGCCGCAGGGGGTGGCAACAGTGGAAATATCGTCTTGAGAGCTTATAGGATTTTGGTCTTCTTTGGCAAATTAGTGCTAATTATTGGATAAGTTTGTGTTATCTAAAGATGCTTAGGCATACAGGGAAGAAGATTTTGGTCTTATGTTGTTTGATATTTTAGTTAGTAACTTATTAATTATGATGATATTTTATTTTGTTTTATTAAATTTAAGTTTTCTTGTTATTATAATTAAATAAAATGATATCAATTATTAAGCTTATGTGGTCGATATGATTCTTCCAACAGTAGCAATGTATTGATTGAGAACAATGATATGAGGTATTACTGTTGATATGTCATCAAAAAATTATCTTAATCGGGCACGAATCTCAAAGCAAAATCAAGTTGTAAACTTTCAAAATTAAAATTGGGATCATCTGAACTCTGATTTCAGCAGCCTAATAGTTGAACTGAACGTCTCAAAAATGCGAACCCAATGACACCAAATTCGACTCAATCCGAGCCCAAATGAGTCCAAATCAAGGACCGAAGCACTGTTGGAAGATTCGAACCACAATTTGGATTACCAAACAGTTTCTAAAACATTACGTGCTTGTAGTCAAATCGAGCGGCTCGACGAGAGGAATCCAACGATCCCAAGCTAGATCACTTAATTCTGACATTACTAAGGCATTCAAATGTCCATCAAACGGTCCATGATCAAGGGATTCAACATTGGCCGTCCATCAAAGCCCATCCCCATATGCCCTTGATCTCCCACCTATTTACTGGCCATGCCATTCCGAAAATCTATAAATAGATCCCTAATTTCTCTTGAAGGAGGCTCCAAGAAAGAGAGCAAAAGAGATATCAGAGATCGCTCTTGCCTCCTCGCTCCTCCTCAACCACCCCGCCTGACATTATTGTTCCGTCGGACCACCACTTGAGGCTCTCACCTCTGCCGGACCACCGCCTGACATCGTTCTCCGCCAGACCACCGCTTGAAGCCCTCATCTCCTCCGTAACACCGCCTAACACCATTGCTCCGATAGACCACCACTTGAGGCCCTCACCTCCGCTGGACCACCTCATGACGTCGTTGCTCTGCCGGACCACGACTTGAGGCTTTATGCTCCACTAGGCCACCACCTATGGCCCGAACTTCTGTCGAACCAGTACCTGAGGTCCAGACTTCTGTCAGACCACTACTTGAGGCTCGGAGTTCTGTCAAACCACCACTTGAGGCCCGGACTTTCGTCGGACCACCACTTGAGGCCCTGTGCTTCACTAGGCCACCACCTGAGGCCCAGACTTATTCCTGACCACTACCTGAGGCTCGAAATTTTTCTAGACCACTACCTAATGCCCGAACTTATGTTGGATCATCACCTGAGGCCTGAACTTCTCCCGAACCATCAATTGAGTCCGAACTTCTGCCGGACCACCACCTGACGCCTGAACTTCTGCTGGACCTTCACTTGAGGTCATGTGCTACACCAAGCCACCACCTGACGCCCACACTTCTCCCAGACCGCCACCTGATGCTCGGACTTCTACCAGACCACCACTTGATTCCCAAACTTCTCTTGGACCACCATTTGACGCCTGGACTTCTGCTGAATCACCACCTAACGCCTAGAGTTTTACCCGGTATATCGCCCTTCTACTAAGGTCTTTGGACTCTTGTCTCCTGTCGATTGTGATCCTTCGGACCTCCATCACTAGACAACGGTCTTTTTAACTCCTATCTCCTAACGACTACGATCCTTCCGACCTTTATCGCCTACTACAATTTTTCTGACCTCTATCCTATCAACTATGGTCATATTAACCAAACAAACATGTCTATGCTTATTATTGTAACTACCACTATGTAATGTGCTCTATATGTCATATATTTGTGACATCAAGCCAAGTCCTTCTCCCTAAGAAGGGTCTCATTTGTAATCGACTGCAAATACTAGTGGATTCATTCAAACAGGGCCAGTTCCCGCGGTTTTCCCCCTTTTCAGGGGTTTCCACGTAAAAACTCTGGTGTCTCTTATGAATGCTACACCCTCTCTCTTATCTGCTTGTGTGCTAGATCTTAGTACAATGCTAAGACATTAAAATTATATATTTCTCTACCGCCACAAATATTTCAGGACGCAACAACTGTATTAAATGAAAGAATTAGAATTTTTAGTGAGAGAGTATGAAAATTTTTACTCTGAATTTAGAAGTTATACATTAATTTTTAAAATAACCACAGTCGTAGTTAAATTTAGGACTAACTTATATATACGCCTTCAAAACATTCATTTGATTGGCATTGATTCCGATGTATTATTTATATTGAAAATTTTGAAGTTAAGTTCTAAAATACCAAGAAGCTTTGATTTCAATAAATTTGTAGTCAAACTAAATATCTAGACGTGATGTCAAGTTGAACTCAATCATATTATAGTTGATCCGATTTAGGGCCAAATGAGCCCAACATTCCTCCATTAATGCCCAAAAGACTTCAATTATATATATTTAAATACAATATAAATAATATCCTGATGTGCATGATTAGGGCTACAACTTCAACTATGTTCATTCGATCATTATATCATCTAACTATACTCCTCTAAGTATTGTCTTCCCATTATAATCTCTTGATGATCATCATCCAATTATGGTCATTTATATTTTTATTTTAAAACTATTTTACAAATTTCATCTGCCACATATGGTTCCCCAATCAAGGTCGGCCAACTACGATTCTCCAATCACAGTCATCTAACTAATCTCTCTTAATCACCATCACTTGGACTTCAGTCATCTAATTGCCTATAAAATTGATGCAACACACATCATCACCTACAAGGTCGATGCATGCTATTGACACCACTATAACTATTATTATCAACACTAATATTTATGATAGACTTTGTGATCTTTGGTCTCCGCTCATCAAATGAGAATAATCAAATAAAGACCAAAAGATCTCTTAAAGATAATTCAAGTATCACAAAGCTATTCCAACTTCCACCATCGAATCCATTCTACACAATTTATCTTTACTACCTTGTATCAAAACCTCTCCTAATCACAAGAAAATACAATTTTTCCTTTAACTTAGTTTTCAATGTAAATATTCTATTACCTCTTATATGTGCTAGATATTTACAGAGAACTAAAATATTTAAACTCTATTTGCTCCTATTATATTACTTTACAATATTTAAAGAGAAAAAAATAAAAATAAAAAACAAAAAACTTTACATGAGGGATGAGGTCACGTGAAATGGCCCCCGCAATATAGTAAGCGTGGGCCACTCTAAAATCTCCCTAATCTCCTCTCAGCCAATAATCTCTCCTCGCCCACGTGATCCAACTCCGGCCCCTCATCTTCTTTTCCCTTCTTCTCTTTCTTTTTAACCTCCCCCACCTTCCCACTCAGCCCACCACTCCCCCACTTCTCCTCTTTCCCCTCCTCGCTCCATCATGTCAGAATCCCCCGCTTCTTACATCCGAATGGTATGTCATATAAAATCATTTATATTAAAATATTCTTATTATTTCTTTATTTTAAAATTAGTATAATATAATTTTGTTATTAATTATTTAATATATATATATTAGATGTGTAAATAAAAAAAATTATGTTATTGTATGTAGGTGCAGCATCTGATAGAGAAGTGTTTGCTCCACCGTATGAACAAGGAAGAGTGCATCGATGCTCTGAACAAGCATGCCAATATCAAACCTGTCATCACTTCAACAGGTATTTACTGATCAAACCTATGTGATAAATTACTTAAATAATCATTAGTAAATTATAAATATTTGTATTATTTTTTGTTTGAATAATTAATTGTTGATAATAATGTGTACAAGTATGGGGGGAGCTGGAGAAAGAGAACGGCGAATTCTTTGAAGCCTATGAGCGGGAGAGGCAGAATCAGACGACGGAGGCGAAAGCTGCAGAAAAGGTGATTGAAGAGCCTGCCCGTAACGAAGATTGAAAAAAATTATGTTAGGATATGTTAATGTAAAATGTATCAGAATGAGCTTTAAACTTTAGCTCTGATATATTTTGTTTTTGAGGAGTATCCGAGTATGGATTGCATGGAAGGCATTCGAGAGTGGCATGATTGAGTAAATATATGAGGTGGGAGAGGGTAGGAAAGTAAAGTAGGGATATGGTGCTGTAGCCGATGAGGGAGATGTGGAGGTGGCTTGGTGTTTTGTTAATGTAAGTGGTGTGGGGAGGGGAATACTGTTCATTAAATAGTTCTTTTTTTATTATTGGTTGCGATCATGCATTTTGCTTCTGTTCATATCTCCTGTCTTCCAGTGCTTTCCATTGAGGTTGACCGGCAATATTGGCTTTTTTCGATATTTTAATAACGCAGCAGCTCAATTTGATCAGGTGGTTGAAAGTCTTAGCGAGCTACTATTCAAGATATTTTATATTTGAAATTTAGTTAAGTAATATATATATATATGTGTGTGTGAGTTTGTCTTACTTTTAATTTGGAATACCTTTTTTTATTATTTTTTAAGTCAGATTTTTTATTGATTTTTAAAGCAGATTTTTGATATAAAAATTTATTATTATAAAAAACGCTTTAGAAAATAGTAAAAAAGTGGTATCAAATGATTATTACTTTTTTTGATAAAATTTACATATCGGGGCTTACGAGTTAATATAAAAATAGATTACAAATCCTTATAGAATCAATAGCCCTCTAAAATACATTATTTGAAATAAAACCTACGAACATTTGATTCAGTCTATAAAATAGCCAATCAAAAGAAAAGGAAGACCGAACAACGATGACTCGAATTAGAACAATAATTGAAGCAAGACAATCAAGATGGACAGCAACAGAACAGCTAAGATGAGCATAAAAAAAAGATGCAAAAAGGGAGATCAAATCGAACAAACCCAAATAAACAACTCATAGCCGAGAAGGACAAACCGACCAGAAGTCCCAGAGAATAATAACACACGAGCTCAAGGTTGCAACAACCTGCAGATCATGAAAGAAACAAAAGAAACAAGAAGCAACAAGCCAACCCACGGAAATTAAACCAACCGAGCAACCATAGAGAGAGAACCCCCAAAACCCGACACCCAACTAAACACTCCAACCAAACCCAGACCCAAACAACACAACCGACAACCATCACAACCGAGCCCCACACCTAAAACACAAAAGCCCTATTTTTCTTTCTAATAAATAAATGATCATCATTAAATAAATAAATCATCATTTTGTTGTTCCTAACAAATAAGAATCCATCTTTAAAAAAAAAAATCCAATAAAATTACTTTGAAAGTTTGCCTGTCGTTCACCTCTTTCTAAAGTTAAGAAAGGGGATTTATTAGTTTGTGAAATTTTTGGTTTTGAGTAAAGCATTAATGAGAGAGAGAAAATTATTTTGAAGTATTTTTGAGGTTGATGCTATTGATTTATAATCCTATTTGTGAGATCCCTTCACTTGAGGAAGAAGCACTTCCTCATGGATCTTGAAAGAGGAGGAAAAATCCAATAAAATTACTTTGAAAGTTTGCCTGTCGTTCACCTCTTTCTAAAGTTAAGAAAGGGGATTTATTAGTTTGTGAAATTTTTGGTTTTGAGTAAAGCATTAATGAGAGAGAGAAAATTATTTTGAAGTATTTTTGAGGTTGATGCTATTGATTTATAATCCTATTTGTGAGATCCCTTCACTTGAGGAAGAAGCACTTCCTCATGGATCTTGAAAGAGGAGGAGGGAGAGAGGAGAGGGAGACGGTGAGCCAAACTATGCAAATCTTTATTTCCCTTGGCTTCTTCCTAATACAAAACTAAAGCCTATAAATAGGCTTCTACAAGCTATACAAATAGCTACACCTAAGCTATACAAAAACAAAACCTAAATCTAGGACTAAAATACCTAACAATCCACCCCCTTTAAGTTCAGAATTTTACACAAAGATAAACCACTATTCTTGATAGAACAGCCAAAAGAATGATCATGTCGGTCTCCGTGATAAAAGCATCCACCGACATTCAAGCTCCACCTCTCGACAGATCTCCTGTCGCACTGCGTCCAACGCAGCTAATTGCCCCGAGCACCCTAGCTCGGCTTCCGCGCCCTGTGCATCCACCAGCACCCGCGCCTTCAAGTGCCCGCGCCCTGCTTTTTTGAGTTTATGTGCGATTTTTTATCGATTTATGATAATTAATCAGGATGTTTGAAAAATTATTTGCTTCAGTACAATGGACAGTCTTTATATTGTTGTTTTAACATGTTATGTGGTACATTTGGTAAGTTCTGATACTGTGATTTTCTGTGTAAATTCTGTAATGGTTTGCCGCCGATTTCTCGTAGACCTTGATTTTAATGAATTGATGTTTGAAATGATGAAATAATGTATTACGAAATGTGAATATATGATTGAATTATCTGTTTTATTGGGTTACTGGAAAGATAAGTGAGACTGAGGTTGAAACCGTTGGTTGAGATTTGATCTTGATCTGTACAGGATGGTGGGCCCGAACATCCTTTTTCCTTTAAAAAGGTTTTGGCGATATCCTCCTATTGATCAATTGATATAACGATTGGGAGTCATAAGGAGATTATTAAGGCTTGGCGGGAGGCCGACGGGCATTGAGTGACGATCTTATTGAGCAACGGATAAACCAACAGCATATGGATTATCAACTCGAAAAACGCCTTAATAGCCAGTGGATTGTACTTGTTCAGTAAGACTACTGTACTGAATTGCATGTGTAGTACCATTTGACCCTAATTTATCGCATTATTGATTCATGAATTTATTGATATCGACGGATTTGTAACTGAAATTTAATTTATTGACGGAATTTTAACGGATTTTCTGTACGATTTCAATTGATATTCACATTATTTCATTGAGCATTGATACTGCTCACTGTATGGATATCGATATTTGTAATTGATTCTATTGATACTATGGACATGGATACTTTGATTCATTGATATCTGATTTATTTGAATATTGACTTATTGATACTATCGTTTCAATTGATTACAATCCGTATTGAACTGCTGCATGTGATTCATTGACTGGTATGGAATATAGGTTTTACTGTATTTGATTTGATTTCAAATCGTTTCTTACGACGTATTGGTTTGGATTTTGACCAGAGATGATTGATTTTGATCGGATTTTATTAATACAATATTGTTAAACTGGTTTATTTATCGAGACGATGATTTTCTTCTATTGATGTTGATTGGATTCTTACGAGATGTATCGTAATGTTTAAACTGTTTATTGAGCTTTAATGGATTTCTTCCTAACTGTTTATCATTCCTTCTCCGCTAACTTGGATTTTATCATTCACGCATTGATTATCGATTTTCTGTATTCCTGCATGATTCACTGAATCATGTGCAATTGATTGTTATCGGATTTGTTGACTGACATGCATATTGTTTTCAGTACAGTCTTGATTTAAGTTATAGGTATAAGTGACGTTGGGCGCTTTTTTTGAGCTCATTTTATTATTGTTGTTAATATTTTCAGGTCAGGGCAAGGGAGGCAGGAGATTGGAGATTGAATCTGGTAATCCCTCAGGTTTTTTTGTTTTTCTTTTTGTTATAGTGATTTTATTTTGTACTTCAGGACAGGATATATTCATTCATGTGAATCATTGTGTAGAACTGAGTATGTGTATATGATCTTTGGGATATGAAAGAATTGACATTGATGTTTTAAATTATAGAATTTTATTAAGACTGTTTGGTATTGATTGAAGACTATAGATAACTCTGGTTAGGTTTTTAAAATGGATAGATTGAAATAATTTCTTTTCCAAGTAGATCTTGGGCGTTTACACCTATCAAACCTAGTGAGTTTGGGCTTGGTTAGTTTTTTCTTCTCAATTTTCATGTCTTGTAGGGTTGCCAACTTTGGGTTGGTTTAATCTCGCGTTTCTTATTGTCCATTTTGTTTGTATGGGAATGAAAGTGACAACAAAGAGAGACAACGGAGAGAGTGAGAGAAGAGACATGCACAATCTCTACCAAATTTTCATAATGAATTCTTGTGTGGTGTGTATCACTTTTTTTACTGGTTTTATGTGTTTTTCTATGTTAAATTAATGGTGTATTTTTTTTCTAGCTTCTTGCTTATTTTCTATGTCTTATCTATGATTTTATGCTTTAATGTTCATTGTGTGGTTTTTAACTTACCCAACAT